CCTCTTCCCTCACCCCCTGCCCCAAATCTCCCCCCTTTCCCCATCAGCTCCCCTTTCCCAAAGCCCCCATCCCACCTCCATCAGCTCTGCTTAAAACAACAAAGAAGGGGAAACAAAATCCACACACACACCCCTCTCCCCGATCGCTCTTGGAGGGGAGCAGAGCCTTCCCCAGCGGCTCCAGTTTAATCTCCCAGGGGTTTGCTGCCAGTGAGCAGATAAACAAGCGCATCCATCACTGCATGCAGGAGGTCGCAGTGGGGCGGGGGGGGGCCAGGAGCAGCCCCCTAGGGTTGGGTTTCACCTGGCTTTGGGGTGCTCGGCACAGGGGGTGGTTTGGCAAAGCCCCGCCGGCACCCCTGGCATGGGGCTGGCAGCTCAGCTGGGTCCCCACGTCACCAAAGGGGTTTTATCCATAATTAATTTGAAAATTGAGCTCAATGCAGCGTATCGTTTATTTATTCCAGGCAGGCCGACATTGGGCAGAGCCCCCGGGAAGGCAAATGGGGCTCAGCTCTGCCAGGGCACCCCCAAACCCCAGGAGGGAAAGGGCACCCTACTTGCAAGCGGGGACAGAGGAGCCCTGAGGGCCTGGGGAGGGGGGGCAGCAGGACCCCCAGAGCGATGGGGAGGGAGCTGCCAGAGGGGTCCCAGGGCCGTGGCTGTGCTTCCCACTGGAACCTGCGGCAGCGAAGGGTGAGGTTTTTCCCAAAGAAAAAAGACCAAACAAGTCCCAGCTCCCCGTCCTAGTGCTTTGAATTTTTATTAAAACAAGGGAGAAAATCGTTTTTTCTTCCGAGTACAAGGGTCCAGGGAGCAGGAAAGCGGCTGTGCCAGGCCACAGCCAGCCCAATCGCCGCCACATGCAGGCAGTCAATCTGAGGCAGCGCGGTTTTAAATAAAAAAGGGTTCAGGACGTGATTTACTACACGCCAAGCCCCGGGCTGACCCTCCAGCCGACACTGGTGTGGCTGAAGGTTAGGTGGAGTTGTGGGAGGGAGGAATTGGGGGTCCTGAGGGGTCCCAAGGGATGCCTGGGGCAGCACCAGCTCCCTTCAAGGGTAAATCTCAGCTGGAAGGGAGGTTTCCCCCGGTGCAAGGACAGGATTTGGGACGGAGACAGAAGGGAAATGTCTGGGCATCCCCATTCCCTCCACGGCCACCGCCGGGGGGTCCGAGCTGCGAGCAAAGGCACCTGTAAGGGCAGGCAGGAGCAGGCAGTCCCAGCACTCCCCTGCCAGGACACGGGCAGAGCCCCAGCCTCAGCCTGGGGAGGCTCGGAGGAGCTGGGGGGGGGGGGCCCATGTTGCCTTAGGGGGTGCTGGGCCTGGGCACCCAGCAAAAGCTGGGGCCGTGCCTGTCCTCTGCCCAGTTCTGAGCCCCCAGAGACCTCCTGGCCTCCAAGTTGCCTGGGTTTGTCACAGTTTGCAGGGGAAAAGAAAAAAACCAAAAAAAAGGCTTCATTTGGTTGGCACTTAGCTGTTCTGCTCCTTATCCCCACAGAGAGGAAGAGGAGGAGGAGGCCTTCCTCCCCCTGCCCGCCTGCCTCCCCCCTCCGCCAGCCCTGGGAGCGCGGGCGCGCCGGCCCTGATTTACAGCACTCTACTGGAACATGCTCTGGGTTCCTAATGGGGCTCCAGGCTCCGCTGGTGCGGGAGAAGGCAGCCCCGGAGGGTCGGCATCCCTGACGGAGGAGACCTTTCGGCATGCTCCACCGGAAAAAAAAAAAAAAAAAAAAAAAGGAAAAAAGAGGGGCAGGGAGGAGGATGACTGGACACTAAACTAGAGAACATCACGCAGTCCGTGGGCAGCCGGGGGCGGGTGGGGACCAGCCGGTGGCTTCCTAGAGCTCCTCGAAGAAGGCGACGCGGGACTTGGTGCTCTGTAGGGTGAGCTGCAAGAGAGCAGAGGGCGGCGGCTGAAGGGGGACGGGCCTGACCCCCTCCTTCCCGCAAGGCACCCAGCCCCAGCTTCATCCCCCTGGGAGGGCACTGGGCTGCGCAGGAGGGAGCTGCTGCCTTAATCCCCTCCCAGCCCAGCCCGTCCCTCCAAAAATCTGAGGGGAGGCAGAAGCAGGGGTGTCGTGCACCCCCTCAGCAGCAGAGCCCCCAGCTGCAACGAGCCCAGCCCGACAGCAGAGCGGAAGGCGAGGGGAGGCAGGCTGGGCCAGGGGAGCATGACTGCCCACTGCTGCCGGCATCCCTGTCCCCCCAAGTGGAGGCTGCCGAGGGGCCACGGATCCAGTTGACTGAATTAGCACGGCTGCAGCTTTCAGGTTGGGGGATACAGAGGAGCCCGGACCGATGGCGCCAATCCTAGGCATGGGACTGTGCCCATGGGGTCCAGCATGCTCCTTCCTTCCGTTCCTTGCCCTGGTGGTGGGGGAACACATGGGGCTCTTGCAAAGCTGGAGGAGAAACAACCTCCATCGGCCAAGGATCGAGGGAGAGCCACACTCGTCTCTAAACCCAGAGCTTCCCCAAAGCCTCCAGGCCAGGCAGGTACCTGTAACCTCTTGTCAGCATCCTCCATCCCATGCTCATGTCCCTCCCCAACCCACCACCCTCGATGGGATGAGCATGTGTTGCCCAGCAGGGTCCAAGCAGCCAGGATGCTCCTCACCACCACTGTCCCAGCACCGGCATGTGGCTGACACCTCCCCCCCGACCAGCTCCCTCCATCCTGCAGGAGGATGGAGCTGGTGAGCCCTGGCTTGCAGGACCTGTGTCCTTGGAGCTACGGCTCTGCAGGACTTGGAAACCCGGCCCAGAAAAGCTTTTTGCAGCGCTAGCGAGGCTATCCAAAAAATAATACCCCACAGAGGAACCCTGAGCCCGTTTTCTAAACGGGCCAAATGAGAGATGAAAGAAACATCCTCGGCGGCGAGGAAGAAATCCTAGTATTTACAGATCACCACCCGAAGGAGCGGGGCGGGAGAAGTGCCACCTTCCAACCAGCTGCTGCATCACCGCACGAGTTTGCCAAACGGGGCAGCTAATTGCGAAAGGCTTCGTTTCAGCTGGATTAAGCAGTGGTGCCTTCCGCCAGGGACACCGGTTTTGCTGAAACAGGAATCCTAGGATCACGTTACAGTGAGTTAAGCCCCACAACAGAGCTGCCAAGCGTCTCCCCCCTCCCCGCTTCCCCCCACAGCCTTTCCCTCGGTAATTCCTTCACAGCAATAATGACATTCTGAAAAAAAATCTGTATTGCAGAGGAAATTTCTGCAGGGGCTTAATACCCTTTGCTGGAAGCATCTCCTGGGCCAGGGCTGGCTCTCCTCCTCCTCAGCATCCCCCCATGCCCAACCCCCCCACGCCCCTGAGCTGGATGGAGGGCAGAGGAGAGGGGACAGGGGCTCCGTGTGCTACAGGAGCTCTGTTTCTCTGTGCATAGGTTTTGTGTCAGCAATTCCAGCAGAAATCCTGCCACTGATCCCAAGCAGACACCTGGCTGGGGCACGGGCCGGAGAATGTGGTGTGTAAGACCAGAGTGGACATCACAGCACAGTCCTTGCCTGCGAGCAGGGTTAACTGCTTCCCACTGCAGTGACCCGGAGTGAGGATGGGGGTGTCCCAGGGCTGAGGCCGAGCAGTCCCACACCTTTGTGTGGGTGCCAGGGCTCTTGCCGGACCCCCTCCGTCCACCACAGCCCAAAACAGGGTGGCTTCATTTTCCCATTTCACCTGAGGAGGCCTCCAAGAGGCCGGCCACCCCCGGGGAGCGTTTTACCTGCTAGCTACCTGCTTCCTAACACCCTGCCGTTGAACTCCGCTCTCCTGCCGGCCGGATGATGAACCAAAGCATCCCACCACCTCCCCAGCCTGCGGCAGCTCACAGTGCTGCTCCGATAAAGCACGGCCAGGGGAGATGCCCCCAGCTCCGTCCCTCCCGGCAAACTCAGTGCCCCGATGGATAAAAGAAAGAAGCCAGCTACAACCGCCGATGAGGCAGAGAGGGAAGATGTTTCCCCCAGGCTTATAAGGGAGATGCGACAGTTTTAAGTCTGCTCTCTGCCTTTAGCTACGTGCAGCTCTCCATTAATCCCCCATGCGTTTTTGCAGTGCTAGGGTACCTCAGGGCACTGCTCGGGCAGCAGCCCCCATGCTCCGAGGGCATCCAGCACAGGCGCAAGCAGAAAAAAACATGATGCAGCCCTGCTCTTTCACCAGGGGCTTTCATCCGTCACCTTCAAAGGCTCCCTGAGATGCTCGATGTTGCTTTTTTTTAACCTATCCAAGGGAAACTGAGGCACGGGAAGAGCAGCCCAGCTGCAGGCATACAGGGAGCGGCAGCAAAGATGGGTCTTGATGAGATGGGGTCCTGGGTGTGAGTGCTGACCTCCCAAGAGGGTCATGCCCTGGGGCTCAGTGGCACTCAGCAGTACCTAGATTTTGCCATCTGAAAGGTAAGACCACAGGGATTTCAATGGCAAGAATGGGGCACCCCCCCATCTCTTGGCACCCCCATGTTACGCTCCAGCTGTTTCTGACAAAGCCAGGGGGCTCATGCAGTGTTGGCATCTAGGCAGGAGGATTTCTTCCTATATAGGCTCACCAAAGAGGAGCCTCTGGCTGTCTTTCTCCCCAGTAACCTGGAGGGCATTAGAAAAGCATCACACGAGTGGGATACAGGCACAGTTGGAGAATTTCTCGTTCGCAGGAGCTGGGTTATAGCTGAGACCTTGGCAGCAGTGTGGGCAGAGGAGACAGCTGGCAACTTCAGGGTACCCTGCCTCCACCACCCCTGGAGTGTGGGCACCTCCAGCAGCCAGGGGTGGGACCTCCTGCACCAGGAACCGGGACTGCCCAGCAGCTCTCAGGCTTCTTGCATCCCATGGAGTCAGGCACAGGAATAAACAGAGAGGAAATTAGGATTGCTCTGGGCTGTACACTAACTCTTCACCACCCATGCTCCGCTGTACCTGGAGGGAAAACTCCCCCCTTTCCTTTTTCTTTCTTTTATTCCTGTTTTTCTGGCTGTTGAGTGCAGGTGAGGCACAGCCGGAGAGCTCTGCCACCGTCTGGTGGTGTGGTCTCGACAGCAAGGGTGGCACGGCTGCGGCGTGACAAAACCCAAGGGATCCGCTGGAGGAAGATGGGCAGAGCCCTGGGAAACTCATTGGGGCAGCAAGCCCCACAGCAGCCCCACTCTTCCCACGCAGTGCTGCAGGGGTACATGGAGGTGCTGCGTGATCCGGTGGGCACGGGAAACCCCGCAGCCAAGCTCGTTCCCATCACCCTCCAGCTGCAAAAGCACAAGCCCCAGACAGCTCTCCACAGGGAAATCCCAATCCCTCGCGCAGGGAGCAACGGGTTTTGCTCCTTTCTTTTTCTGGGACATGAAAGCAAGGAGGAGAGCAGCTGGGGAGGAGAGCACAGCTCTGCTCTGGCCTCTCCAGCGCCTGCTGGGGAAAAGCCCTAAGGTGGCCTCCAGCACCTCCACAAACTCTTGTGCCCTGTCTGCCTCCCCTTTGCCCGGCCAGGCAAGGACATATAAATATATATATCCGTACCGTAACACCGCACAGGCAAGGCAGAGTGATTAAGAGCGAGTTACATTCTCGTCAGGGCGGAGAGGGGAAAAAAAAAAGAAAAAGAAAAAATTGATTTACAAGCAGTATTATGATAATCTCTTTCCTGCAGGAGGGAGGGTGGGCTCCACAATGCACTACCAGAGCCATCAAAGAAAATTTAGAGAGAGAGAGAGAAGGAGGGAGGGAGTGCAATTAAGCGGCCAGAGCTCAAATGAATCAAGATATGAGAAAGGAAAGAGTCCCACTGCCTGCATTCCTGTGCTGGGGTTCCTCTGAGCTCTGCTTTTACCCAGGGCTGCTGGACTGATTTGATTTAAGAAAAACAAACAAACAGAGCAACCCAATAAGTCCCCCATAGCCAAACACACTTTAGAGCAGCTAACCCAATAACTGCAGGTATATAACTTCTGCTGTCAGGGCAAACCAAATAGAGAGAAGCCACCGGGGCTCCCCATGAGCCCACCAGAGCCAGTGCCCTCCCCAGGCGCTGGAGATGCGGCACAGGCAGGAGAAGGGGGCTGCAAATCCCATCAACCTTCCCCTGTCCTCCTGAGGAATGGGGAGAGGTTTAAAATTTCTCCCTTCCTTGCTGTTTTCGTGTTTATCCCACAGCCCAGCCAGGCTGGAGGAGAGGGTGACCCGTGCTACCCCCAGGGACATCACCTCACCCCACGCGACGCCGGGGACATCTTCCTGCTGCTGGGAGATCCACCGTCCCTGCTCAATCACCACCCACCACTGCATACAGCAAATCCTCTTTATTCCCCACTCTGCTGCCCTGAACGTCCTTCTCCATCCCTCCCACTCCCCTGTCCCCACCAGCCAGGCAGACATTTCAATTCCCACGTTTACTTTTGAAACCAAAACCTTCCTATTTTTCCCTCCCCGCCCCCTTCCCAGTCCCCACCTCGCCATTTCTCTCTTACTCCCACGCTGCCGTTTATTCTCTCCTAAGCACAACTTTCCCCAGCCTCCAATGCTTTGATGAGTGCGTTTAAAACAGAGGAGATGACGCTTCATTTGAAGGAAACGCTTTTCAAAGCCTGCCACAAAAATAGCTGATAGGCCTGACGTTTCCTAGTTTCCTTTCGCTCCTTGTAAACAAGGAAAGGAGGCTGCTGTGTCCCAGTTTAGCTGCCAGGGAGTTTCACTTCCCAGCTCCGAGGAGAAGCAGGGCAGAAAGAAAATGAACCTAGCACACGCGGGGATGTGTGGGCAAGACCCATGTGGGATGCACCTCCATCTCCTCCTGCACTTGGAAAATGTGTGCCTGGAGGTGCCCAGAGCTGCTCTGCTTGTTGGGTATCTCCCAGCTCTCGCCTGCATCCCAGCCGGGCGCCAGGCAGGGCGAGAAGCCA